TGATCCAGGGTTTATTGTTGGGGAAGCAGCGTACGGTCTTGACTGGCAGGGTGGTGTGCTCACAGAATTTTATGTATTCTGTGATGCAGTCAGTCATGTTGTTGAGGTCCCCCCTATGTGGATCACACAGCACTTCCCAGTCAGTAGACTCAAAGCAGTCCTGCAGGGCCTCTTTGGCCTCCTGATTCCACCTCCTAACAGTCCTTGTGGAAGCAGGCTGCCATTGAACAAGAGGAACATACTTTGGTGTCAGAAGGACCAGGTTGTGATCAGATCTGCCAAGTAGGGGGAGGGCGGTGGCACTGTATGCGTCCTTTGCATTTGCATACAGGAGGTCCAGTGTTCTGTTGTCTCTAGTGGGGCAGTTAACAAACTGGTAAAAAGTTGGGACAATTTTATCCAGTGTGACGTGGTTAAAGTCCCCAGTGATTGTTATGAAAGCATTTGGATGTTGGGTTTGTAGTCTGGAGACGGTGGAGTGAATGGTGTGGCACGCTGCCTCTGCATCAGCTGATGGGGGAACGTAAACAGCGACTACAATGGCGGAAGTGAGCTCCCTTGGCATGTAGTATGGATGCATTCACACGACTAACAGTTCAATATCTGGGCTACAGAAACGTTAATTCTCGGTAACATGTCCACGGTTACACCATCTCTCATTAACAAACAGTGCAATCCCCCCTCCTTTCTTCTTACCACTCCTCTCCACGTCTCTGTCCGTCGTACTGTCTGGAAGCCGGGTACAGCAGCGCTGGAATCCGGGAAAAGCGAGTGTAGCTATGTCTCCGTGAAATACATGATGTTGCACTCACGAAACTCCCTCTGAGTCTTTACAAGCGCCAGAAGCTCGTCCATCTTATTGCCTAAAGATCTCACATTCCCCATGATGATCACTGGTACAGTAGGTTTGAATTTCCTCCGCTTGGCTTTCAGCTTAGCTCCTGCTCTGCAACTCCAGCGTCTCCTTCGTAGCTCCTCGGGGATTTCAGGCCTCGCTCCGGGCAGTAGCAGCGGTTTACTCAGCGCGATCAGCTGGTCCCGTGTGTAAAGCTTTCACTCCACTCCGCGTGGTTCCCAGCGGCAAAAGGTGGTAGCAAAACTACTATAAAACTAGCAAAACTAAAAGTGGCCATTGCTGCACTAACCCTAAGTCAGTAAGAAAACAAATAGAATATAAAGTGTCAAGTGACGAAGAACAGTACAAAAAAGAATAAAAGACGTGAGCTGCTTGATGTTGTCCACGTCTTCAAAACAGGTCCCTTTGATGACCCCCTTGAGCTTTGGGAAGAGGAAGAAAATCAGTGAGTAGGGAGGTTGCTCCAGCACGGCGATGTTCTTCGCAGCCAGGAACTGTAGAATGCTCATGGCATTGTGAGCAGGCGCATTGTCATGGTTAAGCAGCCACAACTTATCCTGCTACAACTCTCACCTCTTCTCTTCTTGTTCACTGAACAAAACAAATGCCGCAAGATCTCTTTGTAGACGTATCGGTTGATCATCTGAAGGGGAAAACTCGTAGTTTGTAGTTTGGGTTTGAAATATATCTTTTGTGACACCAGTCCTGGAACTTTTCTGACACACCTCGTACATGTATGAAAGGGCTAATGTTGATAACCAGACAGTGAAATATATAAATTGAAGTGTTGTCCACAGACTGATAGTTAACTGAATGGTATAAAAGTGAAAGTATCATTTCTTCTGGAGTAAAAAGAGATGAGACAAAATAAATTGTCTCTATTTATTTTTCACAAAAATGAATAAAAGCAGGATTCAGAGTTTGTATTTCACCTGACACTATGTGTCTGTAGAAGCGACATTGCCTTTGGTTGTCTAAGGAGAAAGTCCCCTTTACTGTTCACATAAGAAAATGCAAGACCTTCGAATGCATGTGCACTTTTTTTTTCTATGCAAAAACACTAGTATGCATTATTCTAAGATCCCTGTTTGTATGAACAGGTGAACTTGTTCTCAGTTCATATTCCAGGTCAAAGATCTGACTCAAATAAACTGTTATTTAAGCTCCATCCCACTCTCATCCTGAAGGGGCTGCTTGTGTTGTCTTGGGGTCAAAACATTGTCACTCTCTGTCTGTTCTGTCTCCCTCTGTCCTTTACTTTTTTTGATGTCAATTTCAATTGTAAATGTATTCTTCAGCTTTTCAAGTGTCTGTCCTTTACATCATAGCTGCTAAAAGGGATCATTTTCAGTTTAAAAAGAAGAATCTGTAGTCTTTCTGCATCCATTTTGCATGGCACAATTTATGAACGATAATTAAATATCCCTCTGGTGGTTTTCAGGGAGATGAAATGTAAAATGTAAACATGAATGAGGGAAGGAGAGAAAGAGGGGTGCCTTGTCATTTCCCACTGCTGTGTTTGGCACATAGAGAGTCCAGTACTGACAGCCTAATTCTCCCAGCAGAGTGAACAACCTAGCCATACTGAGGTCACATATGGCAGCCATTCTTCTGCCAGATTTGTCTTTACTCTTAGCGGACCTTGTGTTAACTGTTTTGTCTAAAACTGTATGGAGCGTTTGATCCATGTAACAGTTTGCCAGTCATGGGCCTCATAATTTCCCTTTGTAAAAGATTTGTAAAGGTTCACCACTGTCATAAAGTTATTAATGCAGCCTCTTAGATTTCAGTTAATTAAGATGAGATAAGACACAACTTATTGATCTCTCACCAGGGAAATGTGCGTTACAGGAGCTATACAAATAAATCCCAGGAAGAAATAAAACAAGAAATACAAAAGTACAATTAGGACGAAAATAGAGACATAATAAAGATTGCGTGCCTTTTACATGTACAGATATGGCATGATGGATATGCATATTGACATGTACAGATGTAGAATGATGGCTAATCACATACAGTGTGTAAAATTGTACTTATATTTATACAAAGCAACACGTTATTGCTATTGCTATATGCACTAGAAAATTTACAGTGAATAGACCAGTCTTACATTATGCTGTTGCACTTGAAGAGCCGAAGACGAAACAGTGTTACATCTTGTTGTGACACTGGAAGAGCTATACAAGAAATAACCTGTGTTACATGATGTTACTGCATTGGAAGAGCTTTAAAGGAAAAAAATAAATCATTCATTCATCCATCCATTATCTATACACTGCTTAATTCTCACTAGGGTTGCGGGGGTGGGGGGTGGGGGGTTCTATCCCAGGTCACCAGTCTATCACAGGGCTACACTTCGAGACAGACAACCAAGCACATTCAATTCTACGGACAATTTAGAATCACCAATTAACCTCAACATGTTTTTGGCCTGTGGTAGGAAGCCAGAGAACCCGGAGAGAACCCATGCTGCACGGGGAGAACATGCAAACTCCACGCAGAAAGATCCCAGGTGTTCTCACCGAGACGCGAACCCATGTAACAAACAACAAACAGTAAATAAATGAATGCAGGTGAACAAAGTAATTAATTAACAGTGATCGTCACTGGAAGCAGTTGGTTGAACACTAATCAATTTAGAACCACCTTGGAATTGAGAAGCCAATTGTAATTTCTAAATTCACCTGTTTAGCAGAAAGAACATGATACTTGTGTAGCCTTTGTAGGAGGGAGAGGGAGGCCAATGAAGGATGTGTTGCTGTGAGGATCTGCTGGATGAGTTGGTTCAAGAACACAGAGACAGGATGACATCTTTGCATAGCTGTGTTGAAAAAGTGTTCCCAAGTAAAATTACTAAGAGTCAAAACTTAAACCTAAAAAGAACACTTTCACACTGTTGTATCATAAAATCGAGCAAAAAGCCCAACAAAATTGTATAGAAAAGCTTGCAAAGAAAGTAGATAGAACCCCTAAACAGAAATCAAGTAACCAGCCCCCATTTGCATTCTTTGCATTCCACTGACTTTCTTTTATACCAAAAGTTTAGGACATCCAGGGAGTTTAATTAAATTAAACTGTCACTTTGTTCTTTGCATTTATGAACAAAACAATACACCATAGCTGTTAAATGTTTAGCTTAATTTTTTTAAGAGTGTTTTTTTTTTTTTCTTGCCTGTTTTGTATTTATTTCAATGACACATTTAAGATCGGAAGTGTTGGGGAAAAGAACAGGGGCATGGCATACAGTAAAGGTAAAGTACAGTAAAGGGAAGTGTTACTATACAATAAAACTCCACCACTATCCATCCATGGTCAGCCTGTATTTCTTTTACTGTAAGTTAACAGTCTTCCACACATTTAGCAGGAAAAAAAGCCTACAGAAGTGGCCGTACAGAAAGCTGCTAGAAGTAGAAGAAAGTGTAGAGAGCTGCTGATCCTGCAAGGACAGAAAGTGGCAGCTGGGCAGAGCTGCTCTGTTGTGTCCTCTCGTGACTACTGACATCACACTGTGGCAAGGCTGTTTCTTTCTCTTTTGGGGGAAATAAAAATTTTGTTTTTTGACCTTTTGTCTCTCACATCTCTCTTCCATTCTCATGGTTTCTGGCCTAGACTGTGTTAATTAGCTTGCTTACTACCATTCCAAAATAAACACAAATCTCCATTTGATCTGCTTCACAATATTTGCATCAGTTTTTGTGAGCTTTTAATATGTCATGCACATCATACTCGTTAGCTGCAAATAAAATGTTTGGGCATGCATGACCAACTTTTAATCAATATTAGCAAGCTTTACGCCAGAGTCTATAGGGCGTGTCATCCCTGGAGTGTGACAGGTGAGGTGGAAAGACTTCTTTTAGGTGTGGCAGCTGTGATGCCATCCTACCTGAACAGATCTGCTTGTGATACAGAATAGAGTCTAGGTTGCTTAGCCATTAGCTCAACAGCTGGAAGTAGTACAGGGCTGCGACCCTTACTGTTTGAAAATGCAATAAAAGCCCAAAGTCTATTGACATATCATTGTGTTAAGTGACTACATAGGACTAAACAGGTTTGTAGGATATTTTTTTCCACATTAAGGGTCTTTTTCAGTCAGTCAAAGTTTGTTCATCCAAGCTTTAGTATTTTTTTTCTTTCTTTCTAGGACCTGTTTGCACTGGATGTGGAGCCTTACCGATACAGTGGTGTGAACATGACAGGCTTCAGGATTCTCAACACCGAGAACAGCCAAGTGGCCTCCATCATTGAAAAATGGTCCATGGAACGACTGCAGGCTCCACCAAAACCTGACTCTGGTCTACTGGACGGCTTCATGACCGTGAGTCTAAGAAATAAGGAATCAATGAATGAGTAATTAATTCATGTCTCGATCCCTTTGTCAGTCTGGAGCTTCTATGCTAGTGTCTGAACTGAACCGCCGATGTAGTGTCCTATTCGTCATTTGTTTTCAGTTTTTGGCACCATTGTCATGGAGAAGAGGACAGTCACAGGCATTAACTGGAACAGTAGAGGATCTAAAACGCTCTGTGATTGCATTTCTCGGCAAAACGTTACAGCTAATACTTTTCAATTGGATGAAATGAAGGGTTTGTTTCATGACCCCTGTAAGGGTTGTATTTATTGAAGCGCACCTCTCTACTGTATGACTGCTATCTGTGGCACGTGTGTTGATGAACTCTGCAGCATAAAATTGTGAAGAAGGTGTCTGGTGGCTGTCTGGATTAGCTAGCAAATTGGCGCTCATACAAATGCTAAACTAGGATTTTCAAATGCTAACACAGGCTGAGAGCTGAGTGTCTCTCAGGAGATGGCGACTATAGCGGCTAACGTTGCTAAGTTCAGGAGAAGCAAGATTTGATTACATGCTTTCAAAACATTAAAACTCAAGTGATGAACTGCAACACATTTTAAAACTGGTAATAAGTACTGACATACTTTCTTCACTGATAAAGGTGGTGCAACAGTACTTCTGAACATCTGTTTCCAGCAGTTGGACTAACATTATCTACAGGTACCAAGTAACTCCACCATGTAGATTAAGTTTGAGTACTACTTTTCCTTAACTAAACCAATTTTGCAGGGAACATTACATAACAGTGGTTATAGCTGCATTTACCAGCATAAGGAAAAATGTCCACTATATTTTATTCATTTCAACAATTCATTTATTATTGATTCTTAACATGGCTGTTAAAAATAGTGTTCAAAAATTGCATTTCGGAATCCAAACCACATTAGTGTTCAAACTGTGAGTCACATAACATATTCAATGGGAAAAACAATTGAAACTTAACTTCCAGAACCAGAGGTGCCCACTGAAACCGTGTTTGTGCTAAAGAGCACTTTTATTTCTTGCCACAGTTGACCAATCTACCAATATCTACCAAAAGCCTTGTGAGTTTTCCAGGGTTTCTCCATTTTTTTTTTCTGCGAACAGGCTGGTTTTTACAGATTTCACATCACTGACAATATAAAACATTGTTCTGCACATGATAGACTTGGATTCATACTTGGGTATGCAGTGTTTTCTCTTGCTGTTACTTACCAGTCGTCCTAAGTGAGTTAAATGCAAAACCTTTGTGCCTTGGGTTCCAAATGAGTCCTGGGTGCGATAAGAAGAGCCTCTGTCACTGTGATCTGATACCTCTCTGATCAGAGCACACTGCCTGTAATAACTGTTCCTTCATACTGCTTTCATACCACTCTCTTATCTGGGAACTCTGCCAAAAAAACTCAACCCACCAGAGACAAGGAAAGGGAAGGAAAAAAGAGTACTGGAGGAGGGAAGAGAAATGAGGTGAAGGAAAATGAATAAAAAAGAAAAAAGGAAGGACAGAGACTGGGTGAAGGGAAAGCAGAAGTGAAATCAGAGTCCTTGTGTTGTATTCCCACAACAACTGTTGAGGTGTTAAATGTTAGGCCAGTTTAGCCGCTTGGTCTAATTCCAGTTGGAAAGCACTGGCAGCAGCAGCAGCAGCAGCAACATGTTGGCTGCTGATTGAAAACAGTAGTTTGCCTCTAGGGAATAGCAAGTTCCTTTTTTTTCAAAAGAGCAAGATCTTGCTGAGTCATGTTTGTGGATTGATATTGGAGAGTGGGTGTTACTCAGTTTAAGCCTTTTTTGTCAGATTTGTGGCTCAATCAATAGTTTCCCACTTGAGATCTCAAATGGACTGTGTGTATAATAGTTGGACATTTTTAAATCACAGAAAGCTTAGCATTCCCTTATAGCTATGAGCTTTCAGCACAGGCTGCTACATGCAATTGTAGAGTCAATTGGATGTCCTAAATTCACACAAAGAAGGGAAAACAAGGCAAAATAAAGATCTTTCTCCTCATATTTGTCTTTAGAATTGTCTGTGTCTCGTGTGCTATCGAGAGTTATCAGGCGAGCCGTGCTGGGTGGTTATTTTTGGATCAGTGACAAGCAAAGATTTATGTGTGTGAGGAGTGTGCTGTGACCCTGCTCATCAGTGAATTAATGGCATATGAGTTTGAAGGTGGGGATTGATTAATTAGACAAATGGCAATCAGTCAGAAGCTAATGCATATTGACATAGTGAAAGGCTCCGTAAACGTTTGATTAACGGCTTCATTTGTGTGCTGTATTTACGGATTTGTGTGCTTAAGCAGTGAACTGCTGATGTGCTGTAACTTATAGACTTGCGGATCATGACAGATTGCACTAAGTGAGCAGTCTGGAGACTTCACTTTCCCAAACTCATTCTCTGCTCAGCCTTGTTTTACGCTTAGTGGTTGTAATTGCACTTTTAACAGTATGACTTAAAACAAAACAATATTAATTATAATAAGTTTGGAGCTGAAGTTGCTGCAATCAAGCTACAAGTTGCTACTTCAGCTTGTAAATTTCATGAAACATTTGTTCAAAATAATAACAAAAATACATGTGATTCAGCAAATAATGACTTGCAACTACAATTGTTTTGTTTTCATTACCTTCAAATGAGGTCCTCATATCTTCATAAGGAGAGAGTGCTCTTCCATGGAAACAGAGTACAGCAAACACTGACTCTAGAGTGTGTCTTTTGATTTTACATTAAAATATGGCCATCGTAGGTTCTCCTACATACTTGGAAAGAGTAGGGTAAATGAAAGCAATTCAGTTGGTTCCAGTCTGCAATCTCTGCTCAATGCCACTAAATCCTTCACACTGGTGCCTTGCTTGGCTTTAAAGTCAGTGTGTCATGCTAAGGACACAGTTGCACCAAACCAGTAAAATTGAAGACCAAAAACAACAATTTCAGTGGAATGGAGGACTTGATTACTAGCTGGAGCTAATACAGTTTCACATTAGTGAAATCTAAATAGCTGATAGTTATTATTGACCAATTGCAAAATTGTGACAATGCAGACCTTGCATTGTTGCGTAATAATTCTCTGCTGTAACATAAACTAATCGCTCACAAGACTGGAAAGGATGAATGTTCCCATGATGTTAGTTGGTTAAATGTTTATCTGCTGCAAAGAATTTACAATGACCTTCACTCATTCCCTACATGCTTACGTTATTGCATCATTAACATATTGAGCTGTTTATGTCAGGCACAGAAAACTTCACTCATTCTGCAAGAATGAACAATGAGCAACCACAATGGTTTTCTTTCAAACCTCACTTGGTATGTCACTATCGAAAGGGCCTTTTGGCATGACCAATCATGGAAGCTCCACTGCCACCATGTCGCTCCGCAGACAGACTAATCACCTGCAGTGACACTTGTGCAAGCACTGCTGCATGATGCTGGTGTGAATTCTGCAGCATTGCCTGTGGTGTCAGCCTCAAAGCTTACCCCTGTCCTGACTTGCATGGAAGATATGGGGCACTGTTGAGGTAAATCTTTTACCAAAGAGTTCCTGTCAAGGGTCATTCTGGGCATACCAACTCCCTCTCAACCACTGTTTTGCCCTCCCTTCAACAGGGCCATCCCTCCCAGGTACCCAGGTAAGATGAAGCCCTTCAAAGCCTTGATGTATGAGGAAGTGTTTTAGAGATCAAGAATAAGTTGTATTAAGAAACTGAATGTGGTCATCCCCCTCACAGCTTACCAGGATGAGCTGTCTAAGGACATGGGTGACCTGCTAGATAAGGGGCCCCCAAGTGCAGCCATCTGGGAGGAGATATATGTTACAGACATCATCCTGTGTGTGTCCTGTATGTGTCATGGGCCTTGCCATAGCAAGGGAGAGATCATTGTGGCTCAATCTCTCCAGTCTCCCTGAGCAAGATAAGCAGGCCATCTTGGACTCCCCATTCCAGCCATCACAGGCCAGGGGACTAGGTGCTACGACCACTGTGCAGCAGAATAGCGACCTAAGGAAGAAGCATAGGGAAGCGTTTAATATCCCTTAACCATTAGCCTTAGCATTCAGCATCCCACCGTAAGCCCTGCGGGGACAGAAGAAGTGGGGCAGAAAAACTTTTCCAGCTGCCCAGCCCACCCTCCAGAGGGGAAGAGAAGCTGGTTAATGTGATAGAGTAAAATTAAAGGTGAAATAATGTAATGATAAATCTATTTTTTTTCCCCCCACTGACATTGTGATTGAGATAACTTGCTTTTCTGATGATGCAAATTTTGTCTACTTTTAGATGACATTGTGTCACTTAAGATAGAAACTCCAACATGAACAGAAACTTTTGAAGGCCATTGTGTACCTGCTCGCCATAGGCTCACTCCGTGCTGTGGTCAATGAATGAACACTTTCTGATCACGCTACATGCAGAAACTGATCATCTGGTACCACTCCTGGTCAGACCTCTTGAATACATTTTTGTGTATGAGCTCTGTTCTTTATAGCTGAAAATAGGATTCAGTCTGCATTTGCTGTACTTTAATAAATAACAAGATGGGTAAGTGTCATTTTCACTCTGATTATTTTACTGCTTTTCACGAAGATTTCTACCGCAGTTGACTAAGGAGCGGTGGTCGCAATCAGAGACTCAGCAGGCAGCACTCATGGAAATCCTGGCATTAGGCCCTCCAGGAACTCTTTCTCGGGTCTCTCTCCACCCAATAGGAGAGAGCTGAGGATTAATTTTCGAGTCCCACTCAGTGCTGTGTAATGACCCACAATGTTCACCCCATTCACAGTGGTGGAGAAGTATAGGTTACCTCAGTGCTCCCCAATTTGTTCGACCCCTATCAGCACCCTGTTGGGTCAGTTCTGAGGGAGGTGGATGTGTGTGGTTCAAAGCACATAAGCAATTCACATGGTTTAAGGAAGGAATAAAGCCAGAAGTGCAGTGTGGTCAGCACAAGAAGTGAAATCTGAAAATGCAGCTCCGTCTGTTATCCAAAGAGG